GTGTTTTCGAAGGAGTTTTACCCGCAATTGCTGGCGAAACCGCGTGGCTTCTGCTTTGCTGCTCCTCTGTTGGCAATGGATATGGCGATGAAGTACTTCCCGGTGAAGCTTGAGGCGGCTCTATCTTATCCTCTTGACCTGTGAAAAAAAAAAACGATATTTCGATTTAGCTTTGGATTATAAAAGAGGTCTTTAATCCTAATGCTCTGTTTAAATCAATATCTTACATTTAGAGGCTGACCAGCCTAGCTTCATGTTCTCTCTATCGAAAACCATTCGATATCCTCTCATGTAATTCTCTGCAAAAATAAAGATAAGTCTATAATTCATGGAGACATTGGTCTGAAGATGTAAGAGAGAAAGAGAGAAGATGAAGAAGGCTCAAACACATACGTCCAATGCTTCCTGTGCCTCCTCGTCCACTAGAACTGATAGGCAAGCAAAATTGGACAAGCCCCTGAAGAAAAAAATGATTTCATCAAAATCTAAATCCTGTTTTCAACCATGAATCATAAAATGTATATGGTCTAACCTGAGTTTGTTGGAGTACAAACAAAGGTTTGTGAATCACGAATGTATTATTGTGCGAAAACTTGAGTTTGATCGCTGGTACCTTTGGCGGCTCAACACTAATCCATCAAACAAAAAATGAAAATCGAAAATATATATTATAAGAGAAAATCAATAGATAAAACCAAGCAAGGAGCATCTTTCTCTACGTTGTGTACCTAGTTTCATAGCAATAATCCCATGAGCCACCTTCGACCCTCTTAATCGTAGCGTTTATATGTCTGTCAATCTCAAGTGCAACTTTTCGGTATATTCCCTCCGGTAGAAATGTAAATGATTGTCCACTGTCAATAAACGTTCTGAAACTCGTCTGCTTCAGACACGAATTGCCAATACAACAAGCCTCCACACCCACAGTGTAGGTTACACTGTAAACAAAATCAACAGAAGTTGCTTATTATAAGAAAAGTTGTCTTAAAGACGTTAAAAACCTGAAGTACGATCATTCATATTTCATTACTATTTGTTGTCAAGCGGAAGGAATTGTGTTGATTGCTGCATCGACGGTCCCATGTCACCAAAGTAAATTCTTCCTGAATCTACCTCGTCAAAGCACATCGAGAAAGAGTTTCGCATGAGCCCTGCTTTAGAAAGAAAACTTGGAACCGAGATTTCTCCAAGTCCTAAACCCATCAAACCATCAGGAGCAACCCCATCCAAGAATACCCCACTTTGCTTCTTACCACATCTACAATATGAGAAACACTTATTCAACACTAAACTCGAACACTAACAAACGTCGAGCATAGATTATAACATCAAGCATAGTAAAACAAACGCACCCTATAACAACTTGAGCCTTGACAGAGGAGGAAGCGTTCATCAATCTATTGTTGGCATTAGACGTAAGATGTAAGATGTCCTCAACAAGTAATCCAGAGCTCGAGGTATTTCCAGTAGCGTAGTTCACAGTATAAGGGCACTGCTCCCTCGGGCTCTCACAATCTGGAGCTGATCCACACAACTTATGGCTGCACAAAAACACCTTGCTGGTGCTTGAACTCGACGGATCATACTCGTTCAAATCTTTAGTAGCCTGCAGAATATGTGCCCCCAAACACGAGGAAGCATCTGCCAATCAATCAATTGGAAACAAGCGCTAAACCGGTCATCATTTCACTAATATACATATAAAGCAATATACTTATCATATTATCACACATACCAAGCTGCTATAGTAAGTGGATTTAAAAGGAGCACATTGCACACAGTTGCAAGGAATCCAAAGTAGATCACTTCCAGTATCTAAAGCCACAAGAAACGATACACTTGGAGTCCCAATGTCGATCCATGTGTAGTGTAGCCTGCATAAAAACATCAAAATACAAATTTCATGTAAGACACAACAAATCACTACTAATCTGCAAAGTTCAGAACTTTCTTTCCCCTCAAGATCAAAAATTCAATAACCACACAACTCTTTAAACCCAGAGGAAGACAAAATTGTAATTTCATTTCAAGGAGACTGACAATTCCCTACTTGAGGATCGAATCTAAAGGTACAAAATTTATAAACTTTGAATAAGACTGGGAAATATAAAAAGTGAAACTTAATTAATGTTAGTGTACCATCCAAAATCATTTCCAGTAGAAATCGTTTTGCTTCCTTCTGATGGAACAAGTGACTGAAACTTAGCACCGAGATTCATTCTCTGTCTTCTGAAATCACTACTCGTGAGCAACCGGTAATACTCGGAGCTTTGTTTCTCCGGTAACGAATCCGACCACGTCGGAGTCCTAATCGAAGCTCTGCCTTCGTCGGAGAAGCGATGGATCAGCTTTGAGGAGAAAACAGAGGCTAAACTCTCCTCTGTGGATAGAGCGAGAACGAAGAAGAGTAGAAAAGTAGATCGTAACGCCATTTTTGAAGCTAGGGTTTTTTGAGTGAAACAAGAACAAAGATTCCAGATTACAAGACCTGAAGCACTGTTCTCGAAGAGTGAAATTGGGTTTTTTTACTCAATCGAAGTGTATGTATAGAAGAGAGAGAGAGTGTGAATGTTGGGTCTGGAGCTATGACTGTTAGAGAGAGAAGTAGGCTTAACGGGAAGAAAGTATGATTGTAAAATGACGTAATTACCCCAAGCGGTGTACTTTACACGTGTACTCTCAATCATTCGTCCGTGTTCGGTTTAAAACAAAAATTTACGGTTTTATCTTTAACCAACGTAATTATGGATTAACGGGTCTGGGAAGAAAGCAGTGGAGTTTAGGAAATGACGTAATTGCCCTGAGCGGATACACGTGTACTCAATCATTCTTTCGGTTTGGTTTAACAACGGTCCGGTTTCGGTTTGTTGTCCGCTACCTTTTGGAAACCCTAATTGACATATAAAACCCGATCAAAAAACCCATTCATTTGTCGGAATCATCGCCGGAAAAAAATGGGCCACGGGAAGCACAGGCGATCTAGAGGAGGCAATTCGAATAGAGGCGAAACTAGTAGGACTGATAATCTTCAAAGGTATAATTTTTTGCTTGGTTTTTGGGTCGAGCTTTCTCTATGGTCTACTAATTTACGAGTTTGTTAAATTTGCAGGGAAGATGAATCGCTTCCTCATGATCAAGGTACTAAAAGATTGAATTTTTTTTAATGGTGGGGTTATTTTGATTGGCTTTAGATGTTAAATGTATTTGTTATTGTAGAACCTGAGGATGAAGCACCAGGTCCAAAAGTTCAATTGGCAATGTGGGTATGTATGATTTTCCTTGGAGTTTATGTTTATCCATAGGTTTGGAATGAAAAATCTAATCCAAATCCAATAGAATTTTCGAAGATCAAATTGGTTCAGTACTCACTGAATGTAAACTGTTATGTTTGTGTTGGTTTAGGATTTTGGTCAATGTGATGCAAAGAGGTGCACAGGTCGTAAGCTAGCTAGATTCAACTTGTTAAAAGTAAGTATCAAGAGCTACCATATGGTCTTCTTCTTTCTTAATGTTTCAATTGAAAAATTATGGTGTGATTGATTTTTTTGTAGGAATTACGGGTTAACACCGGCTTCGGAGGAGTTGTTCTAAGGTACATGTTATTACTGTATCTTAGTGTCATCTGTAATGACATTACTTGATCCTCTGTTTTTGAAAATCTCAATCTGTGATTTATGAATTTGGCAGTCCAGTTGGTAGACAATGTGTTTCAAGGGAAGACTATAGTCTGATTAAAAGAAAAGGATTAGCCGTTGTTGATTGTTCTTGGGCACGTTTAAGTGATGTACCGTTTGTGAAACTGCGTTGTACTGCTCCTCGCCTCTGTAAGAACTTACAATCTATCACCTTGCTGGAAATTTAGGAATGTTTGAGGATTTAGCAAGATCTGTAGTTAAAGTTTTCTTCTTTTGTATTGGTTGCAGTACCGTGGTTAGTAGCAGCTAATCCAGTAAATTATGGGAGGCCATGTGAGCTATCTTGTGTGGAGGCTTTATCTGCAGCTTTGATACTATGGTGAGTCGATAACTCATCCGCCTAAAACTCATCTCATTGATTGATCATATGTTATCGGGCTTTCTAATATGTCTTGCTCTTATCTGTTTTTTCCAATCAGTGGGGAGGAGGAAACCGCGGAACTTTTGCTAGGAAAATTCAAATGGGGTCATGCCTTTTTGTCTCTCAACAAGTAACAAAACCGTAGAAGCAACATCTTGACATCAATTTGCTTCTTTGATCCGCGAATACAATTTTGATTATGTGTTTTTCTTACGATGTCTCAGGGATATTCTAAAGGAGTACTCGAAATGCGAGAACAGCGCTGAGATCATCTCAGTTCAAAACTCTTGGCTTTCTCAGCAAACTCAAATCCCAAAACAACCACCTCCGCTCGAAAAACGTAAGTCACATTTCTGAATCTCTCTGTCACTATCGTGGACAACCAATCAAAAGATGAATTCACCAAATCTTGCTTCTGGTTATATTTATGTTGGTTAGATGCTAGGAAAGAAGGTGAATCTGGTGGTGAATCC